ACCAACCTGTTCCAAACATGACAATGATACTCTAATAGTCAAACTTAATGAAGTACAAGATGAATAAGGACATGAACGATGATACGAGACAAGATATCTCCGAATCCAAAACAATAAACGAGTTGGGTCTAAACCGGAATCGTTATATTACTCATTGGGTTTTAGTTCACCTCCTTTCCCTATATATATGTAGGTGAGCATTTGGGAGATCAAGCTTAGAGTTTTGCTTTCAGCAACTTTTGTGAAGCCTCCAGAAATGCTACCTGAGCTAAGGCCCTTGTTGCCTCCTTTGGAAAGTTTTTGATTAGTCATAAGTTTAGATTTTGTAATATGAATGCTTGCTTTTGATGTAACTTATTTAATATGTGTATAGAAAATATAAATATGTATTTGTCATATCATGTATGTACTACTCAATGGACAATGCTATTTCTGTTTTGCTTCCGCTTCAAGCCCCAATATTAAATGAATATCTTCTGAATTGATTAAGAAACCGTAAGTAATCTATGATTACTAGTCGGTCATCACTCTAACCTTTAGAGGCAGGTTGGGGTCGTGACAATACCCCTTCCATGATCTTTCGTTTTTATCATAGTAGAAAAGATTTTGACTAGTTACTGATATAGATGCCAGATCTGATATGATTGATAAAACTGAGTTTCAGTTCTTTCAGCCAGAGTGGACACGATGTGTGCTGTAATAAGCATCAGGTTTGCTCCCATAATTGTAATAGCATATTTAACTATTGTTGAAAATTCATTTAAGAGCAAAAAATCTTCTTTATCAATTTTTAGAAAATCAACAATTCCAAGTTCAATTTAGTGTATATTAATTTTATCCACGGATAACTTAAGACTTGGCCAACATAATCCCAATTTAAGGATTCTGCTAAGGATGACATACGAAATATTTCTTTGCGTTCATCTTGTCTTTTGACAATTTGTTTAATTTTTCCAGGCAACTCTTTTCGAAAGAATGTTTCTATTTTTTTAAAACATAATTTTTTTTTCTTTTTTTTCCATCATTTTTTCATCATTGCGAATGATGTTAAGCTCTTTTTCTAGAAACATAACATAATCAGTTAGAGCATTGATAATTCTACGTACATCTTTTTGTTTGTTGTTACGTAGAGCAGACCAAAATTGTTTGAAAAGTTTTCTACTTTCTGGTGCTAGTCCAAGATTATGAAATGGTTTTTCGATTATAGCAGGGAGTTTTGTTATATCTACATCTTCGAGTTCGGAGATTAACTTCCCTTTTCACTCCTTTGATGATTCTCCTTTTAAGAATCTATTTAAAGTTTTTGGTTTTAAATTCGGATTTCTTCTCTTTGCTGTCATGATTTTAGCCGCACTTGTTTTGTTAGCTGAAGCATTTTTTTGAATCTTTTCAACAATAGTTTTCAACTTTATGGTCTAGTTTGTTGCAGTTCCAGTAAAATGATACTATAATATTACAATGTGTTGTAATAAAAACGAACAAACTCCATTAATTTCATTTCTTCTAATGTAAGTTTTATCTGAATAGTTTAAATAACAATTTGACCTTAGTAAGGCTAATGCTATGGGGGTGAATATGCAACAATTGATGGCATGCAATTATATCAGACACTGAAAAATGATAATATTTGTTCGCTACTGGATTAATAATTAAAAATTTTAACAGTAAGATTACTATGCATTGAATTTTTTTAATATTAATATAAGAATAATTATTAATATTTAATTCAGTAAACTTTTAGTTCCATGTCTCTCTAAATGCAAACCTAACAAATTGTATATTAATCACTCATTTCCATATACAGGACATATTGGTCGATGGTAAGTTATGAATTTATTGTTGTTAGAAGTTATGGTAAGATATCAACGACTATTATAATCCAATAACATGTTAGTTTAGGTTTACCATGAATGATATATCACAAAAGTTAATGTCTTGGAACCAAAATAGTGGATTTTCAAATTTTCAGTCATTAATAATTTCAAATGCTAAAAGGATTTGAATATGTGACTTTGCTCCTATGAGAAATGTAAGAATTCTCAACCTCTTACACAATGACACTTGAGTGACATACATATATATTTAAATAAATATGGATTTGAATTTTGTTAAACATTTTGCAAGTCCAACATTTCGTATAATTCGATACATTGAAAAAATTAAAATTGATAATGTTTGAATTGATTTGTGCAACACATGCTACCAACAAGTTCAATATTATTCTAGTTATACTGTTTGTAATCATTGAAGACATCATGATGTAGACATCATAACAATGTATTTTTCTTTTAAAAATAATTGTTTATTCTAAAATTTTGTACCTAAACAATGATCTATTTTATTGTTTTAAATATAGGTTCAATTGTCATGATTGTAGTTAAAGACAATATTGGTACCATGAATCTTACTGTTCAACATAATTGAGCAGAGTTTATCATGCAATGTAAACCATCATATTTACAAAAAAATGAGATCGAAAGTATAAGAATTATAAAACTTCTTATAAATCATAAATTACATTTTCTAATATAACCTCATTTCTAAGTACTTTTATAGGACAAAGGAGTTAGAATTATTTAAGATTATATTGCGTCATACGAGAATCGTGCCTATACATTTATAATACCTATCCCACCAACAATATGACGTGATATAATCTCGAATCATTCTTGCCTATACATTTATAATACCTATACCAACAATAATATGTCAAGAAGATTATGCTCCCATGATGACATTTGTTATAAATATACATTGGTATGAAAAATGTTTATACCTTTTAAAAGGTAGCAAATATAAATTACGTAATATGTAAGTATATTTTTTTTTACTCAGGCCTCGTTTGAGGAGGAACTATTTTAGCCAGAAAGTCAAAAGTCACTATAAGTTGTCATATCACTTTCTTTACTTTTTTACACATCTTTTCTTAAAAAGTCAAAATGTTACTAAAATAACATATTTCCAAACGAGGCCTTAATAATTCCTTTAAAGTACATAATAAAACTCTTGAAAACCTGTTGTAATACTAATGTTTATTACCATTTCATGTTGTCTTAGTGTTTAGCTAATTGAACTGATGCAAACAATGAAGACACACAAGAATTGAAATTGTAACATATATTTTATTTATTTATTTTGGTTTCAAGATATTGGATTAGTTCTGAAGTTTATCATACTTCAATAATTAATAGTTTTTTAAATAAATTTATGAGATGAATGATTAATAATTTACATTTTCATAAATTCAGTGTTTTAATGATTTCAATTTATTTTCAACTTAACATTAACTTAATGTGTCAATTTTCCCCGTGCATAACATAGGTTATATGATGATATTTAAATCATATAGAAAAAGAATAGAAAGTACGTTGGATAATGTATTTAAAAAAATTGATAGCCAAAATAGAAAAAGGTAATTTTTAAATTAAAAAATAACAAACTTTTAACAAGTTTGATAGAAATGTTCTAATACTACAATATCTATGGTATTATTTAATTTGTATTTTAATCTATTTAAACCTTCATACTAGTGTTAAAACTATCCAAGATTTTAATACAATGAAAACCAAACAATGGATGAATAATACGATTGCCTAGATGTTCACCATATGATGCGCCCAGATGTTCACCAATTCCAATTGTTATATGAGTCATTAAAATTTTGAACATATCACTAATAAATACACTTTTAAGAACAAAATCAATTTTATGCCCGAAAGTTTCCTTTTAAGATGAAAATTTTTGGTTACAAAGGATAGTAATTTATTACTAAATATTCAATTTTGTTGTTAAAAATACGGCAATAATATTTTTGACAATTAAAATATTTCATTTATAAATGTTTATCTCTAAAATTTGAATTTTGTTATATTGTCAATTGTGTTGCGTCACCAGCAATGTATAGAGAGTGCGATGGAAAGTGTGTTGATTCCAATTAAAGTATGCAAAATGAAATTGCATGTTGAATATGTAATTTGACTTTATGTCCATTTATTTCAATCATTCTAGGTGCACTTACAAATTTAAAATCCATGTTGAATTTGTGATTTAATTTCACTATATATTGACAAAATTGTGAAATTAAATTCGCTAACTTAGCACAAAACTATAACATGAAGCTGGGATTTTAGATGAAATTATAACTTAAACTTGGCACCAAAACACAACACAAAATTGTGATTTTTAGATGAAATCATAACTTTCAAATTGCAATTTAAATAAATAAGGAAAATTTATTCAGAAGTCATATTTAAGAAAAATATGTATCATAAAACCTCATGAATTTTCTTATAGACGTCTCATTGAATTTGAAAAGGTACACTGCGAACTTTTTTCAAGATTTTAAATGTAGGTATGCCTTAGACGTGCATTATTGTCTTATTAAATTTTTGTCAAATTTGATAATGATAAATCATTATAATGTGTCATTTTTCTTAAAATATGACAATGTGGCATTTATGCACTATTGTCCTATTAAACTTTTGTCCAATGTGTTATTCTTACAATGTAACAATGAAACATCATTCTAATGTGAATAATATTGTCTTATTACATTTTTGCCAAATGTGTCATTCTTCTTAAAATGTGACAATAAGACATTTGTGCACTATTATCTTATTAAACATTTGTCAAATATGTCATTTTTAAAATGTGATAATACTATTGTCTTATTACGTTTCCAAATGTGAGTATATTCATTGGGAGATTTTAATGTGAGACATTACTTATAGGTTCATAAGAATATTTATGAAACTAAATGGTCCATAAGTCATAGATATAAGATTTATTAGTAAATGCCCTTTTGAATAATGCAATAAAAAAAAAATACAAAAAATAATTTTGAGCAAAATCATCACCACAACCCAGCAGTTTTGAGGCTGGGCCAAGCCTAGGCCCAAGGACTTGAAAAGTACCAAAAAAAGTGGGCTTTGGAGGTTGGTCTCCCTCTTTCATCTCATCCCATCCTCAGGCAAGGCAAAGCATTCCTTTCCTTTCCTTATCCATTCCATCCATTTTATCACACATCTCTCTCTCTCTCTCTCTCTCTCTCACTCTCTCCTCCTATCTTCTTTGCTTAAACTCAATTGATTCATTCACTCACTCTCTCACACACACTTGTTACAGATTGGTAAAACACCCAGATAATATGATATATGTGTATATATGATTAGATAACAACAAAAAATGTCTTGTCTGTTGCCTCAGTTCAAGTGCCCGCCGGACACTTTCTCTTTCCATTCCAAAACCCACACTACTACCCTTCTCTGTAAGTCTCTCTCTCTCTCTCTCTCTCTATATATATATATATATATGAGTCATTTGAAATTCAATTTGGAACTGGGTTGGTCTTAATTTTTGAATTTTTGTGAGTTTGGGAACCGATTTGAGTCTTGCAACTCTGCTTTTTTGAGTACATGACCTCCTATTGAGTTTGCAGAGGTGTTAGGCCAACTGGGTTATAGACCCAAGTTGGTTTTGCAACTCTACTTTGCTAATGTGGAAGACTACACTACATGTCTTGAGAGAAAATCTATTAATTGATAAAATCTCTGAACATTTGTTTTGTTTCATAGCTTTATTACAAGCTTTGTGTTCTCATTTACTGTGATTTTGTGACAATTTGGGTATGTGAATTATATATGGTGTAATACCCTGTGGCAATTGTTGGCTCTATTGTAAAATGTAGTATGGGGGTCATTTTGTGGGTGAATTTTTTTCTTTCTTTACTCACTGTTTGGTTGTCTGGAAGATTGGGGAGGGAAAAAAAAAGAAAAAGAAAAAGAAAGAGGAAAGAAATAAAATGTTGAAACTTGTAATTTGTGTTGACTAAGCAAAAAGTCGGCGCATTTTGCTTACTTGAATATAGAGGGTTTTTTCTTTAAGGACACCTAAAACCTAAAATTCAAAGTACTAATTCTATCCTTCACAAACAATTTCTAAACAATCAAATGGAATCTTTGTGCTTATATAAGGGAAAATTATGTTGCAAGAAGTTCATTTCAATTCGACTATGGCATGAGCCACACATTAGTTCATATGATTCTCCTGAAACAATCATTTGAAACCCTTTATCTACAAAAAGTGACAATAATTTGTTACCTAATATTTCATCTATTGCAATTTGAACCATGGAAAAGAAAGTGGCATGTCCATTATTGCAATTTATGTACTAGGTTTCCAAGTAGAGCATCATGCTTATTACCTAACTATTGGTTAGTCTCATAGTGGTAATTTCCAGAAGCTTAATAATATTAAATATGTGATAATCAGCTTTTATGTGTTTGCAAAGCTGTAGATTACACTTCATTACTTCTAAATTGGAAACAACATATATGGAAGCAATATTATTGCCGGTACAAGCAAGGAAGTGGAACAAGATTTGTGTTTAATAGCATAATGTCGCTTACAAAACCAATTAATTATTCATATCTTGGCAACCGATTTCTTAGCTCTTAAAATTGCCATTGAGAAAGTTTGATATGCGAAGAACATTACTACCATTGTTACTATTTTTTTTTTTTTTGCATTGATCACATCACCGAATGGGTTTTCCTCATAAGTTAATATCCAACTTATTTTAGTTTCATTTTGTTGCATTAGTGTGGACCAATTCTTTCATTGTTTTTAATTTTGAATATGACTGTCATTCTCATGGAAGCATATTCGTTTGATGATCTCCCTTTAAGGTGCTTAAGTTGTGGTTGCTAAATTGCAGTTAACTGATTTTATTAATACTGATAAACAAATAGCAAAAAATTATTTGAACTCATTATTTTGATTTAAAAAAAAAAAAAACCAACTTTAAGAATATGAAATCATAGTTCTATGAGTGGACATCGGTGGCAGTTGTATTCGTTTTTGTTGTTTTCTGTGTTGTAAAAGAGTCATGGATTTATTGTCATTATTCGATGAAATATGCAGCAAAAAGTAGAGAGCCTATCTCTCTACGGACACAATGCATTTTATCAACTACGTCAGCACCATCTTCAACCACAACAACTACAGTGCTTGATTTGGAGAAACTGCGATTGATGTCTTTAGAAGCTCATTCAAATCCAGCTGCTGCAGATAGACCTTGGACGTATATAGGGGCAATCGGTCTCCCTACAGAGGTCAGAATTCTTATATTGAAGTCATAGATTAATAAAAGCTTCAAATATTTGGACAGAGGTGTAACATTCTTGATATTGCGTTTAACTTTTTGTCTAACTTCATTTCTTTCTTCTTCTCGTCTCTCTTTTCCTTAAATCTTCTTTCTGAACAGAGTTTTGAGGGGTTTTTTTCTTTTTTAAGGGGAATAGCTGTTTTCTTCCTTGATTTTGAAGTGAATGGTTGATTGACTTCACATGCACCCAAGTGATTTGAGTTATGGGAAGCTCCTACCTCATCTTAGTGTTCAGCTAATTGAACTGATCTATTAGTTAATACATGGTCTTTTTGCCTGTTAGGTTCTCATGTCCACTCGGAAATATTTTAGCTGGATGTCCACAAGTTGGGCCATCAACCATTCAATCCTAGACTGGAATTACAAAACTATATGGCCTGTTCATTTAAACATAAGCCAAACCAAACTATGCCTTGTGTCCCAATCAAGTGGGTTGGCTACATAAATCCTTTTCCAGCATTCAGCTCTATTAAGGACTATATGATTAATTAAATTAAATAAATTGTATCTTTTTTTTTCCACTATTACATCCCTTGTCAACTTATGTCTTCCACTTTCCCCAGCATCTCTATTTATGGTGATCCTATCACTCTTCCTTACTATTGCATTTATAGGTCTTTGTTATACATAACCAAACCATCTTAATCTATTCTCTCTAAATTTATCTCCAGTAGATGTTACTCCTACCATTTCATGAATATATTCATTTCTAATTCTATTTTTTATAATCTTGTTCATTAAACAACATCTGATTTAAAGTAGCAGCTTGTGCTTGCAACCTTATTGGACATTCACCTTGCAGGCAAACTTTGGAGTGAGTTTGGCTAAAGAATCTCTTCTTACAAGTGAAGACGCTATTATAGCTGCTGCTGCTGCTGAAGCAGTTGCTCTAGCAAAAGCAGCAGTCAAGGTTGCAAAGGAAGCAGCAATCATGGTTGGCTATAATAGTTATACAAAATTGGATGGCAAACCTGAAATTATCCCAACCGAAGCTGGTACCCTCCTGTTTGATAGGGCACAGTTTCAAGAAACCGGACTAGTTGGTGTAGCAGTAGGGCCTAGAGAAGCTGAAAATGGCTTTGGGGAGAACTTTTCATTGCAATTCCCCATTAAAGAAGCTGATGATTTGGAGCCAATGCACGAAGAACTTGAACTTCTGGAGGAACAAATCTCCAATAGTATAGCAGTGAGATCAAGCCGTCAAACAGAACGAAAAGCCAGAAGAACAAAAGCAGCAGAGAAGGCTGCAGCGAATGTTGTATCTGTGAAGTCTGGTTCTACAAGCCGAAAAAAACGCGCCTCTTTACAAGACATAGACTATTCTGATCCATTGCGTTACTTAAGAGGAACTACCAGTACTTCTAGGCTCCTCACAACTACTGAAGAACATGAGTTGTCAGAAGGAATACAGGTGCATGCAATTCACACTTCAGTGCTTTTGATGTTTAAGGTTAATGGTTCTTTGGGATCATTTGTTTTGTTATGTAGAAGTCATTTATTATCATTGTGAATGATGCTTATCAGCATCTACCCAAAATGTCATGCTATGATCACTAGATGGAAATTCTTATAGAGCATAAGAAATATTACATAAAGTTCTGTGGAGGTCAAATTTATTTTTTGAATTGCTAGTACTGTAAATGGAAAAATTTGCGCAAATAATAATGAGGTCATCCTTTTGATATGACTGCCCTACTTGTGTGTCTGAAGTTTCAAATCTACGAATTTTGGGAATGTCCTGAAAATATCTTGATGTTTAGATACTTTTAATGCCGGGTGCCTACCCTATATAAGGCCAACATCAATTACCTCTTCCTTTGAAATTGGTGATCAAAGGGATTGGTATTCTTCAAGTCTATGTTTTAGCTGAAATATAAGTTGTAGTGACATTTTGATCTAGCTGAAGCTTTTGTATTCTCATGGACTATGGAAGGAAACTAACAATTCTGCATGAAAATTAATTCAGAGTTGTTTTCCTTCAGCTATTGTACTTGAGCACTCACACACGCATACACGCACAAAAAAAAAAAGATTAAGAAGAAAGAAATGAATTTAAAAAGTACATATATTGGGCATATGATTCAAAGATTTTGTCTTCCAATATCTCAGGCTTTGATATTTTGAGTGGGTAGCTTTAAATATAATCTATGCATAAACTGCAAATTACTCAATTTTTGTTACTTTTTTTTTAAAATTATCTCGTCTGATTTTGCATTGTCTTGACTGCCATTAATGTGGTACAGGACCTACTGAAATTAGAAAGACTTCAAGGTGAGCTCGTTGAACGTTGTGGTGGTCAGCCCACCTTTGCACAGTGGGCTGCTGCAGCAGATGTTGATCAGAGGACCCTGAGGAAGCGTTTAGATTATGGTTCCCTTTGCAAAGACAAAATGATTAAGAGCAACATAAGGCTTGTTATTTCAATTGCAAAAAATTATCAGGGAGCTGGAATGAATCTCCAAGATCTTGTTCAGGTATCCAATTTTCCCTCACAATTGGAGTTTTATCTCAATATAGAAAAACCTATTAGGAATGCAATGACCGTTTAGTGATGTTTGCCTGGTTTGATTCTTGTATTAACTTAGAGGTGCTAACTTGCTCTCAGGAAGGATGTCGAGGCCTTGTAAGAGGTGCAGAAAAGTTTGATGCTTCAAAGGGCTTCAAGTTCTCAACCTATGCTCACTGGTGGATTAAACAGGCTGTTCGGAAATTTCTTTCTGATCAGTCCAGGACGATTCGCTTACCAGTAAGTGCGCATCAGTTTTCCCCTCTTTGACTAGGCATTAATAGATTGTCTTTTTTATAATATAAAAATGGAAACAATCGTGCTAGAAACACGGATGAAATTCACACAAATGTCCCATTCTGTGAATTTCATCTGTGCACTTTAGACTTAAATCTAATGGGAAAAAAGGTGGATAACATTTTTAACCTTTAATTTGCATGTTAACAGTTCCACATGGTTGAGGCAACTTATAGAGTGAAGGAGGCCAGAAAGAAATTGTATAGTGAAAATGGAAGACAACCTAATAATGAAGAAGTTGCCAAGGCAACCGGGCTCTCAATGAAGAGGCTCCATGCTGTACTACTAGCCCCTAAAGCTCCAAGGTCTCTTGACCAGAAAATCGGGATCAATCAGAATCTTAAACCTTCGGTATGTATAGTTTCTATTCTAAATTTCATGGGTGGCATTTCTGACGCAATTTTTGCCACTTGTAGTGGTAGTGCACATCTTGGGTTTGTTTGGTGCAGCTTTTCTCAAGCTAGAAATTGATAATCAGAAAGTAGAAGTTATAATCTGCTTTTCAGCCTATTTAAACTATTTATGCTTCTTTAGTTATAAGCAGAAGTTATATCAAATAGACCAAAACAGACTCCTAAAATAAAATAAAATAAAAGAAGATGCTATAAACCAAACAGTGCCCTTATCCGCTTTACTCATCTCATCCCACATCTTCCATCTCAGGAAATAACTGCAGATCCTGAAGCAGAAACAGCCGAAGAATTGTTGACAAAGCAATTTATGAAGAAGGACCTGGAGAAGGTGCTCGACACGCTCAACCCGAGGGAGAAGCAGGTTGTCAGATGGAGGTTCGGCTTGGTGGATGGAAGAATGAAGACATTGCAAGAGATTGGGGAGCTAATGGGCGTAAGCAGAGAGAGAATCAGGCAAATCGAGTCATGTGCATTCCGAAAGTTGAAGAACAAGAGGAGAACCAAACATTTGCAGCAGTATTTGATTCCATAAAGCCCCACCCAGTTCAAGAAATCTGATTTTTTCAAGACCGAAGAACTTAGTAAGGTTACTTGAGCCTCATAGAGGCTGTATGTTCCATTCCTTCTGTTTATTTCTTCTTTCTGTCCCTTTTCCAGCAATTTCTCAGAATATTAGGAATTGTTTGTGTATAGAAACAAAAATTTTGAATTAATGCAATTTCAAATTATTATTTTTCCATGTAGTGGAGGCTCATATTTTCTGGTTACTAGATTTTCAATTTGTGATCTTGCAAGAGAAAATAATGCGTTTCATATGATGAACAATTCAATGTAAAACAATATTGTTCGACATTCTACTGTCCCATCTACTATATATTCATCCTTATTTTAGTGAAGTTGAGGAAAAACTATTAATGAAGTCAACAATCTAAAAGTGAACAAATATCAGAGGTAATGACCACATCATCTAGAGTGGTGTAGGAAATTCCAAATAGGAGGATGAGACTGTCCTTAGTTTTTATTGATCGGTGATACTGAGGTTTCGTTTGAGAACATAATATTTTATTTAAAAAATTATTAAAAAAAATAAAAGGTTAAAAAGTTTTCAAGTAATATAAAAAAATCAAATATTCTTTTCTATTTACTTTCCTTTTTGTATTTTTTTCATCAAAAAAATAAAGAAAAAAAAATTCTGACATTAATTTATTTCATCACGTTCCGGCTAGCTCACGTTTGTGTTTTCAGGTGACAAAGCGACGTCGTACGGAGGAGCGTGGACTTGGTCAACAGGATTATACGAGGAGAATTATTTCCTCCCCGTACAAGTCCTAAATGGCAAATGTAGTCAATAATGTCTAGTCATCTAATTCATTTATATTTTCAATCATACATTTTTGTTATATTAATAATCCATCATCACAGCAAAGATTTGTTGGGGAATTTTTAAAATAATAAATAAAGTTTGTGTATTTTTCAAAACCTTGTATGTTTTAGAAAACTTGAAACAAGTTTGAAAACTGTACCATATTAAAAAGAGAGTAAAAAATGGAGCTCTTAATAAATAGTTACATGAAATATTCTTCTCAATATAGAATTGTAATATGAATGTTAGTGTACATGTCCTCACACACTAGGGATAGTGCATCACACCATCTGCACACGTGTGCATGGCATGGGCAGTGGGTAGGGTGGCTATTGGCCAACCCAACCCAATATTTTTAGGGTTTAGAAAAATTGCCATAGTTGAAATTTTTTGCACGTCTAATATTCGGGTTGGGCTGTCCATTATAAAAATATTAATTATAATTTTATGTTATTTTAGTTATAAAATAAAGTACAAAAAATATAAAATATAAAGACAAAAAAGTATATATATGCATATATATTTCTGTCTAAGGCTTAGAATAAATCATTTATTAAAAATTAAATTTACGTTACCATTCAATTTTGTGTTAACATCCCAAATTCAAATAATGAATAAAAGAATTTAATATTCATTAAATAAAAAAAAAATTATAGTTCATATTTATTGGGTTAAGTGAGCGGACTTGAGATTTAAATTTTTTTTAGGGCCAGGTTCAGGATGTTTTAGGCTCGATGTCGGCCGAGGTTAGGTTTGGGATGACACATATTCTCTTACTATATAGTGCAAGTCTAGCTAGAAGTTTGTCCACCCCTAGCAGTCGGCGCTTTATTGCTTTTGAGTTTTCAATCAAGAATTTTTAAAATAAATTTCTGACATAATAGAACAATTTGATTTTAAGTTTTCAATCAAAAGTTTTTAAGGTGAGTTTATAACATAATAAAGTGACTTGAAACAATCATTTTCTATAAGAAGTTTTCGAAAACATCGAAGTTGATCGCCAAATTTTGAAAAACCTTCTTCGTACAATTGTTTAAGGTCTACAGCATGAGAAGTTCTACATGATGAAATGCTTTATTATATGAAATATTTATTTGTTGACACTATTGGGGTAGAATTACATTTTTCTGTATGAAGTAAACGAGCTATGATTAACAAAAAAAAAAAAAAAAAAAAAGGCATTCAAAAGGTTTTTATAAAAATAATTATTTTTTTAGTAATTACAATGTACTAGCTGAAGGGCAATTCTCAAATTGCCTCTAGTGAAAGTTGTGGCTCTGTTTCAATTTCATAATTAATTTTTTGAAATTTTTTAGAAGAAATAGAATTAGTTTGATAAAAATAAACATAAAAAATATATATTTAAATTAAAAAAATTTCCCCCAATAAGGATAAAATTATATGAAAATGGTGAGTATTTTTTTATTTATTATTTTTTTCACTAAATTAGTTTTTAGTTTTTTTTTTTTATATAAAAAAAAAACAGATTCTAAAAATCAAACCAGACAAACCCTTGTATCTTTTAATGTTAAATCAATTATTCTATGTGTGAATATTAAATTTGTAGAGGAAAAATAAATTGAAAGAAAAAATAGATTAAAAAAAAAAAAAGGTAAAGCAAGCAACATTTTTTTTTGTTAGGTTGGTAAAATGTGGGGAAAGAGGGTACTTTCTTTTGTTAGATTAGTAACACGAGAAAGACATTTTTTTTTTTTTTTTTTCTATCTATTTTTATGAGAAGATATTTTCTCGAAGACAAGGTCAGTTTGAATTTACTCCTACAACAACTCATAAGTATCGGACTTGAGAAAAGTAGAGAGACCTCTTAATAATGAATTTTCATTTCCACTTCCATTGACAAATCTCAAATCCAACCATGGTGCGTGTTACTGTGAGCAGGAGATAAAAAAACATTGACGCTGTTTTTGGTTGAAGAATATGGACAGAGATTTGGAAAGAGAAAGGGAAAAGGTATGTAAAATTAGGTGAAATATAGGTATATTTTATTCACATTTCGCCTACCGTTTTCATTTCCCTTTCCAAATCCCTTCTCAAATCCCCCAACCAAACACAACATGAGAGAAAACAGTAGCTCCACATACACATATATGTCTTTTTCTGTTTCTTGTTTGATGGGATATATATGTCTATTTCAAAATAAACTTAATCCCCCATAAAATTGTGCTTTTAGGAGATACCAAATTACTATGTCATTTCCACAACTGTATTTCATGACTGCATCATTTGAAGCAATATTGATTTTGACATTTCCCTCAAATGAGATACTTCAGTTAATTTCTTTTAAATGAAATTATTTAATACATATTCATATTTTAGGGATAACCAAAAGAAAAAGGTTAAAAAGTTTATTTTGACAAAAACCTTTTCATTGGTTCTTATTTTCTAGTCTAACCATAAAATAAATAAATAAACAAATAAAATTTCTTTTATTTTTCATATTTTATTTTTTTTTTCACAATTTCTAGATATGAACAATAATAATAATAAAAAAAGTCACAACAGGACTTTGGACATTTGAGATGCAATGGTGTAAGAAAACAGAAAAATGAAAAAGTAAATCAAAGTCTTAAGTCCAATGCTGGTCGTCAGATTTTGGCTTGAGTTGGTAAAATCGACCATGCGAAGTACCAATTCCCAGGTAACTCTAAATGCATTCAAAAATTAAATTGGGCGAACATTCTAATTAAAAATGTAAATATATATATATATATTATCTATTTAGACTCTCCAAATAATATCTATTATAATCTTAAAATACACATCATGAATTATTTTACTCCTCAATTTTTAGATTTTTCTTTATTACAATAATAACCTCAAATAAAATTACTAAAAATGACATCATTAATTTTGAGACACTCCATCTCACAATTAAACCCCCCCACCACTACATCATGAATTAGGGTTTACTCTAACCCATCAATTCATGGAAAACAAGCAGAAAAAACACAGCATGGGCCTCCAAAAGATTGAAATCAAGAAGATAGAGAAGAAAAGCCAGCTCCAAGTTACCTTCTCCAAGCGCCGTGCCGGAATATTCAAAAAAGCTGGCGAACTCGGCGTCTTGTGCGGCGCCCACGTCGCCGTCATCGTCACCTCCCCTGCCGGCAAGGTCTTCGCCTTTGGCAACCCCTCTGTTGACTCCGTCATCGATCGCTTTCTCTCCGAAAACCCTAATCCTAACCCTAATTCCCATGGTTTCGACACGTGTCATGATGACGAGCTCCATCAAGTGCATCAGCAAAGTATTAACCCTAACCCTAATTCTAACTCTCAGTGCTCGGAGCGCCATCGAGTGAGTAAGAATCCTAACCCTAACCCTAATTCTCAGTGTTTGGACATGTGTCACGAGGAGGAGGTCCGGCAAGTGCAGCAATTGAGTAAGAAGTATGTGAAGGCGGTGGGGAAGTTGGAGGCGGAGAAGGAGAGAGGAAAGGCGGTGGCCGAGTTGAACAGCGGCGGAGGAGGAGGTGGGTTTTGGTGGGATGAGAGTGTTGAGGGATTAGAGTTGCATGAGCTTGAGCAGTATGTGGCTGCATTGGAAGTTCTTAAGAGTAACTTATTGGCTAGGGCTGATGAGATGGCGGTGGCAGCGAGCGGTTTTCCAGCGAATTTCTTGGCTTCCAACGGTGTTGTGGTGGCTAATGCTTTTGGTAGTGCTGAGTGCAGTGGTTTTGGTTTTGATTGTAAGCCTTTCTAATTTGAAACCCTTGTAGGGTACTTTATGGATAAATCAAGAATTTGAACACACAAAAATATTAAGAATAGTTGTTTTTGGTGAGTAAAATCTAGACAATATGTTTTTAAATTTTTTTTTTTTGGTACCACAATATTATTTTTTCTGTCTTAATTGTTGATCCAAACCTTTTACATGAGAAGAGAGGTTTTAGAGTTTGGAAAATTCTACAATACACATTCTCTCTTATGAAATTTTTTAATTTTAATTGTAAATCATATTGATGTTTATTTATAAATGTTTGTGGTTATTTTTTTTTTTTATTCATATAGAATACTACAATAAAGTCCAATGAATTACAATCATAATAATGAACATTAAATACAAACTTTACAAAGAAACTATTAAAGTGAGAAAAAAAACTCCAATTATTAAGATTTGTAGTCTTAGTTCTAAATCATGTGGATATTTAATTATGATCAGATCGAATAACTTTAGCCACAAACACTCTTAATAAAAAAAATCTTACTAAAAGTATAAAAACTTAAATATGATTGATTGATAAACAAAAAAAACTGTGATACTTGTCTTATGATGTTTAGACACATGTTCTTTTAGTCAGATTTTTAGTGCAAGTACCTTTGGCATTGCTTTTGTGATACGAGACTTTGTGATATTTGGTTATGAACTGGATTATGAGATTGTGTTGTTATATTATGAGTCAAAATGACCTTCGTGGTATATTTGTGATGAATCAATTTGATTTTGTTATAACTCAAATTGGTGAAATTTATGAACTATTGTGACTGAGATTTTGTATTTATATGTATATAGTCATGCTTCTGGATCACTAAATTATATGATCAAGTATTAATTGCTAACATAGTGATAGGCACATGTCATGCTTCTACCACATATTACGCCCTTGATACAACTAAGTTTGTTTGCAAATTAAAATAGAGTCTGTCTTTTTTTTGGAGTTCATGTTGTGGCACTCCACTTGATGATTAAGACATTTTTCTCTCTTCTAATTTATTCTCATTGTTAAAAACAATAAATAAATAAATAAAAATAAAAATCTAACATTTTAATTCACATGTTTTCATACAAGTGGTTTATGTCATCATCACATTTTCATTTCCTAAAAAATTTCTTTCATCTAAATTTAAAGTTTTTATTTATTTATTATTTTTTACAGCAGTTTATAAATTGCGTTATTCCTTAAGTTTATTTTTTCTTTTTTTCAGTATATTATTTTTTTAAGTTCATTTAAACTAGGCGAACTTAAACAAATTTAAAAATTAAAAATGGACTTTTTTTTTAATATAAAACTCAACTTATTTTCATCGTCAGTAAACTATTTAAATTTTTTTAAAAAAATGGTGAAATGAAGCCAAAAAAAAAACTTATGAGCTAGTGTCAAAGGAATCCTTAGCCTAAGGATAACACTATATGAATTTTGGGGTGATTACTCAGTACTCCCGGAGTATGGACACGTGGTGCTCCATGAGCTTTTGATTGGTGAAGAGACACAAGGGCCTACGATTTATGTTGGGAATGGGGAAACAATATGGGGCTAACTAATTGGTGATTGATTTGGAGTATGGACACGTGATACTCCAGGAATATTGAATAATTTCCCATAAATCTTGTTCACTCTTAACCTTGCTTTAATAAAAAAAACTCGTGTCCTAAATCGTGGTTTATTTTAGCTGGCAAATAAGACAGCTAAAATATAAGATAAGAACACCGAAAAAAAAGTATACATAAATCATTAATTTTTTTAATATTTGTGAGAGATTGGGAATTTCAAATGATCAAATATCTATCTATATTATTTTTAAATGACAGTATTTTTTATTTTATTTTTTAAAGAAGTCACACAAAGAAGTGGGTAAGGTTTGAATCCATGATCATGAATTTAAGGTGTGAGGATTTATACCACTTAAACCAAGTATACATTATAACATTAATTTCATTATAATTTTTTTTATTATTACCTGTTTAAATTACACACGTATCGCGTGTGCCATCCACTAATTTTGATAAATGGTAAGAGTACTCTAAGACAACTAAAGGAAGACGAGAACAATCCCACAAACAATACAATTATAGATCTAAAACTCGTACATAAAATTAAGGGCGCATTACACTAACAGTTCTTATAATATATAAAATTTCAACTGATGCTATAATTCAGCAATACAATTTTGAAACAATTTGTTTGTGCAAAAAAAAAAAAATAAATAAATAAAGGGTAAATTACACTAACGGTCCTTATCGTTTGGACTTGTGTCATTTTGGTTCTTGACTTTGCAATTGTGACACATTTAACTCTGAATTTTGAATCTTGGTCCAAATAAAGACAATTGAAGATACCATTGCTTAATTTCAAGGGCAAAATAGTCAATTTGATAAAATATAAACTAATTTGATAAAAATAAATGTCAAAAAATATTTTTGAATTTTTAAAAAGTATTTCTACCCACTAAAGATAAAATTATGTAAAATTGATGAATCTTTTAGACATTTATTTGTTTATTTATTTTACTAAATTAATTTTTATTATGTGTTTGGATGATGATCACGTAATGAGTGGTTGTTTTTATTTTCATTAAATTAATTTTTATTTTTCCAAAAGTCAAATACGAGACAACTTTGATATTATTATTAAAACAATCCATTAAATCAAAAAATCTAAAACTAAAACATTTCATATATTAAATATATCGATTACACATTAAATGTTGTCGCCATATTTGATTTTTAGAAAAATAGAAACTAATTTAATGAAATAAAAACAACCACTCATTACATGATCATCATCCGAACACATAATAAAAATTAATTTGGTAAAATAAATAAATGTCTAAAAGATTTATCAATTTTACATAATTTTATCTTTAGCGGGTAAAAATAATTTTCAAAAATTCAAAAATATTTTTTTGACATGTATTTTTGTCAAATTAGTTTATATTTTATCAAATTGACAATTTTGCCTTTGAAATTCAGGAATGATATCTTCAATTATCCTTATTTAGAACAAGATTTAAAATTCACGGTCAAATGTGTCATAATTGAAAAGTTAGGGACCAAAGTGACACAAGCCCCAAACTATAGGGATCACTAGTGTAATTCGCTTTAAAAATAGTTTAGAAAAATATTATGAATTTAAATTCAACTGTTAATTCTTAAGGTCCCTTTCAAAAAAAAAAAATTTAATATATTCTTAGGGCGAGGTTAGGTATAACTTATTTTTTGATTTATTATAAAAAAAATCGTGCAAAAAAGTAAGAGTGATGTGACAGAAATAAGTCAATAAGCAACTTATTTGGCTTGTTGGAAACTTAGCTATTTTAGTTGATTTTTTTGCTTTTGGACTATTTTTTATGATATGAAAAAAGTTATGTTTGGGATGGTTTGACTATTTTAGTTGTAGTTAATAGATGGTCGAGAAAGAAAAAAAAAATGATTGATTGATGAGTAAGATATGACATTTCGTCTTTCTTAATTATTTTAGCCAAAAAAATAACATCCCAAACAGAGCTTGAGTAAAACTTACATTTAAAATGAATATGAATTATAAATTATATGCATATATGATGTTTTGCACCTCCCTCTAAACTATAAACTATAAATTTTTGTGCCTTTCCCTAAATCTTAAATCCCTCTTGTTTTTCACTCTAGATTTTTCTACAAGGGACGATAGAGACTACGGTGGCTCTCCTACTTATGTAATCTCTCTCTCCTCTCCTTTCTCCTCCATTCGATCCCCCTCTTAACTTATCTGATGTTTACATCACTAGTTCAGTCATTACTGCCTTATCTTCTCCACTCTTGAGCCTAAAAGCTTAAGATCTGGTTTTAGATCTTCTCACGGTCGGAAAGCCAACGCTAGATAATGTATTTGTTTTATACTAGTTGACCACCTCAACTTTAATGTTTGATCTTGACCAACGAATATAAGGTCTTCAGATTCCAATTTGATGGCTGCGAAGCAATGGAATAAAAGATGAGTTCGGTGACAACTTGGATCTAGTTTGTTTGTTTGTTTGTTTAGTTTTCTTAATTTTTAGTTTGATGATGCAATAATCTTTCCTGTGTGAATTGTTTCCCTCTGTTGTGAGTGTCTTTTCTCCTCGTCTATAGAGACTTGGATCCTTCATTCTATAAAAGTTATTTATCTCTTTTTGAGATACCATTGTATCAGATTGATCTAATCTTTTATTAATTTTGCAATAAAGATTTTCTTCCCAATCTAAAATGGGTTGGGCCTCCCTCCAGTCCGTGATTGGACGGAGGGTACTGTCGGGCCCATAGGGGCCCACCACGGGTCCCGTTTCGATAATTTGAACCGTTCAATGTGTAGAATTTGTCAAGTATTATATGCTTATAAAAATCACGTTGATCGGATATCGATAGCTATCTCATTGGATCAGATTTCTATCAATCGTTTATTTTTTCAGCGTCCATTTGTTTTTTTTTTTTTATATACAAAACTGATTTGATCAGGTAGCTATCGATATCTAATCAACATGATGTTTTACAGGTATATAGTACTCGATGAGTTTTACATATTCGACGATTCAGATTATCAAAACGGAATTCGTGGTGAGCCCCCACGGGCCCAACAGTACCCTTCAGTCCGATCACGGGCTGAAGGGAAACCATATGCACCTAATATATATATATATATATATATATATAAAGGCAAAGCATGTGATAACCCAACTCGTATTATGTATGTGATTATGTGTTTGATATAAATATGTGAATTATGTGATTTTGGAATTATATCTGTTGAATGTAGGAATATCTGTTGCAAGTACAACTTTGAACTGAAATTAAAAGCGTTAGAGGCGCCAAAAACCAAAATCCACTTCATATTTGTGTTTAACATGATTTTTAAAGCCTACATATAGACACCCCATTTTTTATCGTCCTTAAGACTTGGACGTCATCGCTTGTGCACTCGATGATTATGATTATGTGTGCTCGTTTTAGTGCCTGAAGTCCTCAGCAGA